CAGGACCTCCAGTGTAACAAATTGATTAAATGACTGTGTAATAGTCTCTTTAAACAAATCTAGTGTAACAAGTTAATAGATCTGCTCAATTACCATGCTGGGGTGATGAGGATGTGGGCAACTCTCATTAAATCCGGGATAGAGGGGGGGTGGGCTGGTAGCGCGGAGGTGCCTGGCGGTGGGGCAGGGCTGCACTCCCGCAGCCCCCGCTGGGAAGGGACCGGGACCAGCTGGAGATGGCTCAAGGCTCAGGCCAGGGCCGCCCCACTATCTAACCGACGGGCTCCTCCTGACACCCCAGAGCCGGGGGCGAGGGAGGAAAATCTATTACCCCGCTACCATTTTGTTAAGTGTTTGCTCCCCGTTGTGACCCTGCCACTTTATCTGTTGATTTTTATTTTCTGAGTGCATGTTGCCCATATGTTACTCTAATAGTTGCTATAATTCTTGAGCAATAGGGCTCGTATTTTACCGAGCTGAATTAAAAAGAATGCACTTTAATAAAAAACCCGAGCAATACACTAATGGCTTGACATTGATGTATTTGCATAAAGATGAATTATATGGGATCGCTTGACACGACTTTTAATAAATGATCGAGGACGTTATTGCAGGGATGCACTTGGGTGTGCGACAGTGGGCTATGGCCGCCGGGCAAGCGCCGGGAGCTTCCCGCAGCCCTCCGCCCCGCAGGGCACCCACCGCCTCCGCTACAGCCGGGCCGATGGGCAGGGGTTAAACCCCCGGGGGCGCGGAGCGGTGCGGTGCTGCCTGGCCGTGTCGTTGGCATAAAAATAACTTTTTTCTCATAAATTATGTCTGCTGGAAAGCGGAGACGCGGGTGCGGTGTTGGTGCGGTGCGGGATGCCCGCAGCTACCTGCGGCATCCCCGCCGCCTGCCTCCCGCTCCCTGGCAGATGTTTGGTCTCTCCCGGAGACTTGTAACCGCTGTTCGAGACAGCTGGTACACGCTGCCAGAAACATGTATCTGGAAAATACCTATCGGTGCAGAAGGTAAAGGCGGAGCTGCAATTAGGAGGGAGCAGTTCATCTTATTTTTGAATCTGCGAGCAGCCACGGGGGCTCCGGGCGCGGGATCGCTTTGCAGATGCCTATCCCTTCCCCAGTGGACTCAATGCGGGACGGGGAGCTCTGGGAGGGCGGGCCGGGGGTGAGAGCCCACCACCCGCGTTTTAACCCCTGGTTTCTCCGGGGTGCGGGATGACTCGTGTCCCGAGGGAGGGGGTGCCTAAAGCAAAGCCCCGGGGCTGCTGACACGGGTATAACGAAAGTCTTGCACGCAACGACATCACGGCTTCAGAGAGCGGCAGAGTGTGTGCTTGCTATGGAAAGAGTTACAAATTAGTATCACTGAGAGAGAAGTGATGAACGATAACGGGATTTCAGGAGTTCATGAAAGGCGAATACGCGTGAGGGGAAGGGTGGGAGACGTCATCCGTTGAAGTGGTCTGGCTGTCCCGAGTGGCTGTCAGTCTGGACATCTCTCTGGCAGGGGCACAGGCATTATTTCTTCCCCTGCTGCATACGCTGCGGGCTCTGGGTGGGAGTGTTGCCGCGATGAAAGAGCCCGAAGGCCTCAGGGTTGTGACAGCGCTGGTGTAGGGCCTGTCGGGGTCTGGGTGACAGCGGCGTAGGGAACGGGACACCCCCCGACACTCCGCACATGCCCTGAAGCGAGTGACCGCTTCTTTTCCCCGCGAGGACGGAGCTTTTCCTTCCTCCCCTGCCGCCTCTCCTGCTAGCCGGTCCCTTCCCCTTGTCCCTCACGTCTCCCGGGGCGAAGCCCGGGCTGCTGCCTCGGGGACCTGCGGCACTGCGGTGTGAATCCTGCCCGCGCCCATATGTCCCGCATCCATATGCATGTCTCCCGCGGGAAGAAGCTGCCGTCCGGGAGCGGTAAAGGGGCAGCGAGGCTGGCCTTCGGCCCCGTCTACCTTCCCGTGCCTCCCTTCGCTCTCTCTCTTCCCTATGCCTCCAAGCGCCGACGGCTGTTGCAGGCCGTTGGAGCGGAACCTACCCCCCCCCCCCCTCCCCCGACCCCGGGCCCTGCCTGAGGGCAAAAGAAGTTTCCTCCTCCTCCCGGCGTGCTGCTCCTTGGGCTGGAGAGGGACAGCGAAGTTGCTCGGCAAGGCAGCAGCATTTGGAAAAGCAGGGAGGATGCTTTCGGCACCCTGTGGCTGAACAGCCAGGAATTTCTCCCGCACTATCTCCTGCGCCCCAAGGAAGGCACATGGCAGGGACTGAGGCAGAGCAAACCCAGAAACAGTCCCTTTATTTCCTCTGAGCGGGGAAATCCCGCATATGTATGCGGTTTAAAACCAAGGGCTCTGTTACAGAGAGAAAGGAAAACCAAGAGCTGTTTGCTAAGGGAGATGTGGGGACCAGCCTGCGGTGGTCTCTCGCCACTCAGCCAAGGACCACTTGAGCCGCTGCTTACTCCCCTCGGAGCTTTCGACCTGGCCCACGGTGCGGGGTGTTCCGGGAGAGGCCGGGCTGGCCAGCCTGCCTCTAGAGATGGGGTCGTGCCGCACTTTTTTAACGTCGTTATCCCTGAGTTCATATCATCACGCAACAAACTCCTGAGTGTTTGAAAGAATGAGCTGAAACTGTGGCTGATCTCTGCCAGGCCCCACGCACGGGGGGGCTTCACTCCCCGTGAAGCCCGCTGACATTTTGTCTCCTAATTGTTCACCGCGATGTCCATGGCAGCGATCCCGAGGCTAGTTATTGGATCGCCTCCTGGAAAGTCCTCTCCTGGAGGAGAGGGAGGCTGCGCCTCTCCGCCAAACCCGTTTTGACTTCCAAAACCTGCCCCGAAGGGGGAAAGAGGGGGTGAGCTCGTGTGAATAACCTGCTCTTTTCTCCAGCGCCCCAGACAAAAAACAGCCCAACCAAGCGAGCAGAGCTGGGCTTCCCCCTCCCCCCTCGATTCCACTTTGCCGGTACCAATTCAACTGGTGGCCAGCTGGGTCTCCGTGCAGAAGTAAATTAACTGGAAAGCCTCAGTCCCTGCTCCAGCCAGCTGAAAGGGGACGGTGCTCACGGCAGCCCGGGACACGCGGGAGGGCGCTAGTACCGGAGGGAAACCGGTGCTCGCCCTGCAGGGAGCCGGGAGTGGTTGAGCGGCCGCCGGGGAAAGTCGCTGCGGGAGCACTGACGGCCCCAGCCCGGCGGAAACCCCAGGCCGCAGAGGCTTCGGGCTGGGCTCCGCTGCCACGGGCCGGAATCAAGCCGTCAGCGGCCGGACCCCGCCCCGGCGGAGCGGGCCCCGCTGTATTTTCATTTCTTTCCCATAGCTCCGCAAAACTGGCGTGGAAATCGCAACGGCGAGAGCCGGCAGGGTCCAGTCGGCACTCTGGACACCGCCCGGCCTTTCCCTTCCTGCCTTTACTACGCATCGGGAAAGACTTGGAGCGGTCGGTGTGCGATTGGCATGCCCCGGCATTCAGGCCCGGCAGAGCCCGAGCGGCCGCGCCTAGGCGCCGGCACCGGGCAGGGCCTCGGTCCTCCCTCCCGGCTCCTGCACTACGCCGAAAGCGGAATAAAACCCCGCTCCGCTTTTTTTATATTTTTTAATATATTGTCATTCCCCCCCCCCCTTTTTTTTTTTCTTTTGCCCATGTATAAAACGATTCACAATTTTAAGGAACAATACAAATTTATTTTTTTCCTTCAGAAGAGCTGTCCCTTTTCTCTCTCATGTCAGCGCTTCTGTTTGCTCTGCTGCTGCCGTGGATAAAGGCGATTGTTTGTGGTCTGCTTAGATATGGAAATGATCGCTTCGAGATAATGAGTTTCAGTTTAAACCAGCCCCTTAGCCGGGCTCTTACTTTATTCACCGTTTTCTTCTCGGAAAGCAGTTTCTTTCCCATAATAACGGTAGCGCTTCTGCCCTAATACTTTGCGTCGCCCGCCTCTTAAAAAGTTAATCCAGCCTAATTTGGGTTGAGACCAACCCTCCGGGCGCCGGATGGAAGCTCTGCTTGGACGCTCAGGGAGGGAATAGACCGGGCCGCCAGCACCGGCCCCAGACAATCCGCTGTTTATTTTTATTTGCATCCTTCTTCAACTCCCACAACAAAGTGGACAACTTCCATCGCTAGAAAAAAACAAAACAACAACCCCCCCAACACACAAAAACCCCAACTCCAAAACCCTACTACTGAGATTGAACAAGAGAGCCTGAAAATTCTCTCTTCCTTTTTTTTCTCCTTCAGTACCGTAGTGTCATTTAATCTCTGATGAGATCAGATTATCTGTATCCTTTAGTGAAGGCAGCAGAAGTCTTTAAACTGGTTTAATTGATTTATCGGTTTGTTTTGTTTTTTGTTTTTTTTTTTTTAACAGAAAGTGCATTACATTTAACTGGTCTTGCAAAGGGCTTTTCTTCTCTTTACAAACCGAATTATTTTTAATATAAATTAATAAATGTTAAGATGCTATATCACGATATACCATCGTTATTAGTTTAAAAAGGGGGGGGGGGAGAAACCAATTTACATTCTATAGTATTCAGTATGATACAAAAGAAAACACACTTTAAATTCAATTACAGCAACTAAACGAATTTTATATTTTGACTGAAAGTGGTTGTGATAATTCCCACCAGCTACTTTTTCAACACGCGGTTGGTTGGAAACGGTGAAAGCAAAACTCTGTCCCCTCCTTTCACTTACTTTCTGCAAGTGAAAGCAAACTGTCCCCTCGACCTCTCCCCGCCCTCACCCCCCGCCCCTGCACGACGACCGCAACAGAAAGTGTTTCAAAAATACTAATAAATAGCACTCGGGGCCGCTGCAGTTCCGGCTCGAGGGAGGGGCCCGCTGCAGCCACAGCGCGGTTTTGCTCGGCGGCCCCACTGCCGCCCGCATCGGGGCTCCGGGGATTGTCCCCTGTGCCGCCCGGCGGCGGGGAGCGCGGGACGGGCAATGCTGGGGGGGGGGGGGGGGGGGGGAACGGGAGGAGAGGAGGCGCCCCGGGCCCCCGCTGTACAAAAAAAAAAGAAGGTATTTTACATTTTAAATATTCACAGTAAGGAACGCCTATGGTCGCGGAGACTCACAGTTTATTTACAAAGAGCCGCAACAGGCGGCCGCCGCACTGCCGTCACCGGGAGCGGGAGTGGGACTGGGAGCGGGGCAACCCCGCAGCTCCCCGAGACCCTACAACACTCGGTGCCGGGGTCCTGCTCCGCCGCAGTCCTCTCTGCTCCCCCTCCGGCTTCTCTTCCTCCTCCTCCTCCTCCCGGGCGCGTAGAGTCTATAAAAATAGATCTGTACATTTCCGAAAGCGGCGGCGGGAGGAGCGGGCTAGGCGGAGGCCTCCCCTTCGGGGGGGTGCAGCAGCAGCCCGCCGCCCCCCGGCTTGTGTTTCTTCAGCAGCTGCGTGATCTTCTCGTCGTCCGAGTTGGGGTCCAGGGGCTTGTTGTAGTCGTCGTCCTCTTCCTCGTTCTCCGAGGCTCCTTTCAGCCTCTCCGTCTCCGAGTCCTGCTTCTTCTTCGCTGTCGCCATCTCCGCCGCGTGCTTCTTCCGCCACTTGGTCCGCCGGTTCTGGAACCAGACCTGACCCAGCCGCCACCATCACCATCAGCGGCTGCATCACCGACCCCTCCGACCCGCGCTTTCCCGGCCCCAGCCTGCTGTTGTGACTCCCGCTTCGCCAGCGATCGCACCATTTCCCCCTCAACGAAAAGCAGTCCCGTCGCACAGCGCTTCCCGCAGCCGGGGACACCCGGTCCGTGTCCCTCCCAGGGCGGACGAACCGCAGCCCCCAGACCCCCCCTAGTTTGCGGCAGGCTTGGGGCCCTCACTGCCCTCCTGCCCCGAGGGCAGGGGTATTGTAGTAACATGTAGTAAGACACACTTCGGGCTGAATCCTTCTCCAGCCGCCCCTGCTCCTCCAGATGTATTTATCCTCCGTCAGGGCGCTTCCAGCGGAGGAGATCTTTTCACTGTAGAGGCTGCAGTAATTTATTCGCAGCCATCGGGACATATTTGCAGTGACAAAGGAGGGTCTCTACATCAGCCTGAAAGCGTGAGCACCGCCGAGAGGCCGTCTCCGTCGGAGCCCGCCTCGTGTCCCTCGGAGGGCTCAGTGCAGTCCCACAACTCATGGCACCTCCGCTTTGCCACAACTGCGGTTTTCACTAAACCGGAGAGTTTTGGGCGGGACAGTGCGAGCGGGGTGAGAAGTCCCTGTCCGACAGCCGAGGCCGCTGTGAGGGGCCCAGGCGGTTTTGTGTGGGATATGGGCCAGAACTCCTGCTCCCTTACATCCCAACCCCAACTCGCGCATTCCCAGCAGGGCGGCCAGCCCCATGGCGTTCAGGCTGAACGCACCAGTCTTGCTTGGGGTTTGTTCTTTTTCTAGATAAGATACGCTTTAAAATACCCTTCTCAGTCCCGCCAGTAAGGTAACGAAGCCCTTCAGCCTGCAGCAGCTCCTGCCGCCCGGGGAGACCCGGTTCCGCGGTCGGGCCTGTCTGTTCCCCTGGTTACCGCGCCCCCAGCCCTGCTCCGCTGCGAGCCCTCACCTTGACTTGACTCTCCGTCATCCCCAGTGAATAGGCCAACCGGGCTCGCTCCGGGCCAGCCAGGTATTTCGTCTGCTCAAAAGTCTTTTCCAGGGCGAAAATCTGCTGGCCAGAAAAAGTGGGTCTGGTATGTTTTCTCTTCCCGTCCTTATCCAGCAAAATTGAGCCTTGATCTGGCGGTGGGGGGAGAGAAAGGGAAGGCACGGACAGACACATTAATCTGCGGGTTTGGGAATGCGTTTCGTTATCGAGCGGCCCCGGGGGACAGCGGTTCCTCTCCCCGGGGGGGAGGGGGGGGGGGGGGGGGGGTTGGGGACGACGACGACGGTGACAAAGCTCCGGTTTCCCTGCTCCCCTTATTTTTCCTTCAAGGATCGAAACTCTGAGCGGACAAACGATATTGTTTTCTAGGAAAGCTGCAGCCAGTGCAAACCGGCTGTAACGGGAAGTCCTGCTTGGGAAAGTTTGTGCATGCCCCTGAAATCAGCCCCCGGATCCCCACGAGCCCCCGGCGGGAAAGGTGAAAGCGGCGGCAGAGCGGCCGCCCTCCCCTGAAGAGGGCTTCTCTGTTGGCCGCGATAACAGACGTTTTACGGGGCTTCGTGCTGACCGAGAGGGAGGGAGAAAGGAAAGCAAACTTCAGAAACAAAAGCAAAAGAGTGAGGCAAAGCCAGCCTCTCCAGACACGGCCGGGCCCGGGGATGTGGGACAAGGGATGGTCTAGCCGTGATGCAGGAGCGTCCGGGCTCCCCAGTACCGGCAGTGAACTCCCGGCGGTACTACCCGTGGCCGCTCCCCTCACTACCCCGCGGCGCTGAGTACTCACGGGGAGCGCAGGCGAGGCGGGCGTCCCTCCAGGGCGGGCTCTGCATCACCCCCGGCCAGAAGATGGGCGTCCGGCCGGGCAGCTCGGCCAGCGGTTTGGGGTAGCGCCCGGCGGCCACGGCGGCGGCTGCGGCAGCGGCCCCGGGGCTGAAGTAGAGGGCGGGCGGCGGAGGCGGCGGGGGACTGAGGCTGCCGAAGCGGGGCAGCCCGGCCAGAAGCCCGGCGGGGGCCGCCGAGGAGGCGGAGGGTGAGGCGGAGGCGAGCGCGGAGGCCGGCAGGGGCATGGAGGGCCTGCTGAGGATGTCGTTGATGCCGTGCGGAGTGGCGGCCGAGAGCTGCGGCGGGGCCGAGCCCAGCGCCGAGAGTCCGCCCGCGGCGGCGGAGGCGGCCGGCGCCTTGAGGCCGGGGGAGCCGAGCGGCGGCGAGGGCGAGGCAGAGGCGGGCGAGGCGGAGGCAGAGGAGGAGGAGGCGGGCCCGGCGGGCAGGGGGTACGCGGGGTACAGCGGCGCCTTCATCTCGGCCATGCTGTGCAGGGCGGCCAGCGGCGGGCTGCCTAGCAGGAAGGCGCCCTGCCGGGGCGCGCCGTCCATCTGCCCCAGCGCCAGCATCCCCGCGCCGCCGGGCCGGGCCGGGCCCCTAGAGCCTCGGGGCCCCGGCGGCGGGCCCGGGGGTGCCTCCCGCACCGGCGCCTCGCATTCGGCCCGCGGGGGCCGCCGCCTTTAGCGGGGAGCTGCGCGCCCGAGCGGCGGCCCCGCCGACCCGCCGGGCATCGGGGCGGCCGCTCCCGAATTGAAGAAGAGCGGAGCTGCTGCCGGCGGGTGTGTGTATGCGTGTATGTGCGCAGCGCCCGCGCTTACACACGTATACACCGCCTCTCTGCGCGCCCGCGAGGAACCGGGGCTCACAGCGGCGCGGGGCCCGCACTCGCAGCTCTTGCCGCCGCCCCGGCGCTCTGCATCCCTCCCGGCGTGTTCCCGCTGGCTGGCTGCCGGCGCGGCTCTCGGGGCTGCGGGCGAGGCTCGGGGCGCACTGCCGCGCCGCCCCGCTCCCTGCCTCCTTTAGCGGGGGCACGGCCGGCAGCGGGCGCGGCGGCGGCAGCGGCGGGCGGGGGCGGGGCGGCGGCCGGCCCTGCCCACCCGCACCGCGCCCGCCTCGTCGCCAACTTAGGGTTCCCGGCCCGCTCCCCTCTTCTCTCCATGGCACTTCTTCTATTTACCCCTCTGCTCCGCTGCTTTTTTCTATTTCCTTTCCTTTTCCTCTAATTTTCCCTCTCCTTTTCCCCTTAACTTCCCTTTTTCCTTTCTCTTTTTTTTCTCCTGTTTCTTTCTCTTTTTTTTTCTCTCCCTTTTCCTTTCCCTTTTTCTTCTCCCTTTTCCTCTCCTTTTTCTTTTCATTTTTTTCCCGTTACACCCCCTTTTTCCTTCTTTTGCCTTTTCCCTTGCTATTGGATTTTCCTTTCCCTTTCCCCCTTGTTTTCAGGTGCTCTTTTTCGTTTTCTTTTTTTTTTTTTTTAATATTTCTTAATTTTATTTTCTTTTTTCTCTCTAGGTTCCTTTTTATTTTCCCTTTCCCATTCGCTATCTCTTATATTTTTTTTCACTCTCCTTTCCTCTTTTTTTCCTGTTACTCCCCCTTCTTTCTCTCACTGTCTATTTACATCATTCCCTCCATTTACTCTTTCTTTCCCTCCTCCTCTCTTTCTTTCTTTCTCTCCTTACCGTTTTCTTTCTTTTTTATTATTTTTTTTTTTTTCTCTCCTTTTTGCTTTCTCACTCTCCCTCCCTCTGTCTCTGTGCCCGGGAAGAAAGACTCCAAGAAGCAAAGCTACTCCAGTCCCGGCCTGGCCGACCCTCCCGCACGACCCTGGACCTCCGTGGGTGCTTGCTGCACCCGCTGCACGTTAGAAGAGCGTGTTCGTCCCAGCAGGTCCCTGCTCCCTCCTGCCCTGTCCCGGCCGGTGCTACACACCCGAGGCAGCCCCTCGACCCTTGTCCCCAGCACCCGCGGCTGCTCGGGGTTCTTCCTGTCGCCCGGTGTTGGAAGAGACAAAATCCCGTGTGGTCCCTACAGACTGTCCCACGGGGAGACGAGCGGTGCAGAATCACTCTGAGCACTTTTCCCCCGTGCTGTCTGTGCCCAAGAGTGTGTGCCTATGAGGAACTCTATTTCCTCGAGCGTGGAAAAGGGGCTGATGTGGAATTTCAATTTTTTTTTAGTTACAGATCTCATTTAAAGCGGAAACATGTTGATCCTCACCCTGCGGCGGTGTTCCCTTCCATTCCATCTATTTCTAAATACAGCTTGTTGCTCGGAATTGTTTTAGTTTAATTTACAACGCCGCATAAAAACTCTTGGAGTAAGGGCGCACAGAGCAGGACCTTTCCTCGCCTGAACTTCTGCACAGCCACGCAAACTGCCTCTCGCGTACAATTCTTGAGTTTATGATTATTTTCTTTTTCGTCCTTAGGTCACTTTTCAGCTATTCGGAAAACAAAACAACAAAAAGAAAGTCCTTTCCAGGTCGGTGTCAGCGGAGCCAGCGGGCGCTCGCCCCCGCAGCTCCGGGGCTCGGCTGGGTCTCAGGCATCCAGAGTGTGGACCTTGCCTCTCAGGGAGACCGATTTGCATTTTAATTGAGGGGAGAAAGATTAAACCGGGTTTGGCAGCCTAGAGGCAGGCGCGGGACGGCCCCGCTGTATGGCCCGCAACCGGGGGAGCTGCTTTGCCCCGCCTGCAGAGGACACGGTGCGGGGCCCGGGATGGACAAAGGCTCCCCAGCCCCGCCGCCTCCCTGCTCCTCGGAGCGCCCCGGGGGAGCTTTCCAGGGCCGGCCACAGCCAGAGGCTGTAGCTTCTGGTCCGCGGGGGAAGAAGAGGCCTTAGCCTGCAGGGACTGCTTCTGCAGTGCGGCCCTGCGGGGCCAGCGCAGGGCTCGGGCCGCCCCGCCGGCCGGTGACAGGCGACCGCACCGTGTACTCGTTGGCCCCGCGCCTCCCTCCCGGCCGAAGAAGGCATGAAGCACCCAATGCCTACGGGCTTGTTTACAAAGCAAAACCCAGCCATCCCTCTCGCGCGAACCGCTTCTCCTTCCCTCCCCCTGCAATGAGCCTGTGGCACCCTGAAAACGAGCGTTTCTTTGGGGGCCGCCTCGAGCGACTTCTTTCCTAAAAACAGCATCACAGGTGACACGGCGCCAAAAGGGCCGACCCGTGCTTGAGAAACAGTTCGGATTCAAAAGCAGGCGTCAACATTACCCCATTTCTGCATCTTTAATACCTATCACACAGAAATACTTGACGGTATTGATACTCAGTTCTCTTTCCAGTCTCTGTTTTTGTTTCCCTGAAACACAGCCGCAGGCGGGAAGCAGACTGAGCTGCGCGGTGCCACTCAGCAGCGGATGGGGGGGCACCGTGAGCACGCCTCGCCTCGGTACTGCGGGGGTAACTGCAGTGAACGAACCGCAACCCGAAAACGCCGCAGCCAAACTACTTCTTGAGGGGAGTGGACGGGTCCGCAGCTGGTTTCCCCAACTAGGGAAACCCAACCGTCTGCGTTTCCCCAACTTCCCTAGGTCTCGTCACAAACGCTTCACCGCCCTGGTGCGGATAAGTCAACGACCACGTTAAATAAGAGAAGCAGCGGAACGGGGTTGGGGGGGGGGAAAGAGTGGAGCGGAGGGAGAGCAGCGGGCTGCTGGGAGGGGGAAGACGACGCCGACGACGCCGAAGGACGGGGGCGAGCAGTTACCCGGAGGAGGCAAAGCCGCCCCACAAGCTCCAGCGGAAACCTCGCAGGGCCCCGGAAGGAGCTCGAGAAGTCCTCGAAGGCGCTGGGGCAGCCGGTGCGGGGCGGGGGGGGAAGAGCGCGGTGAGAATTGGGGGGTGGGCAGCGGGGCACAAAGGCTGAAGGAGGTGCGACGGAGACCCCGGTCACACAGACCGAAGATGAAGGAGAGATTGAAATTAAGAGGCACACAGAAGGAGTGTTGTCAGAAAATGCTGTAGTTTGCTCGTTCGAGGGGGTAAGAAGTACGAGCGCTGGAGCAGCTGCACCTCCGAAATTCGTGTTTCTGCTGGAATGGTCCCAGCACATCTGAAAGGAAAAAAACAAACTAAACCAAAACCCAGACACATAAGAAGAACTAAAATTAGAAGGCCCAAAGTGCTTTGGCATAGCAGAGTCAGATATTCTTCAAGCTGACGAGGTGGGGACCCGAGCTGCAGCTTGCTTCACCGCGCCAGCTGCGGTGTCCAGCTGTGTCCAGGTTGCTGCTCCCAAGGGAGCTTTGGCCGGGCCCTGCCCAGAGCTTCGCCTGCCCCCAGCAGAGGGGACAGGCGCCAGGGACCCCAGCTTTTGCGCCGGGAAGGCATTGTGACCGGGAGAGGGGTCTGTCTGAACTAGATCGAGTGATCGCTTTATTTAGCAAATGAACTGCTTTGCCATCACCGTATGTTTTTCATTGCAAACAAGCAGTCGGTTACTTTCCTAAAGTGATGGATAGGTATTTAGACACCTTTTCGTTGTAACAGCAATGTAAAGCCACTGAATCATTTGTTGCCTGCCCTACATGGTGGAAAGGAACTGAGCCAGGGAAGCCTAATGTGCTTCTGGGTGCTAATTCCAACTCTTAATCAAGATCTGATTACCAAAAAGGAAGACAGAGCATAAAAATGCTATAAAGATTTACATTTTGTCTATCTTGCCCATAATTCACGCCGCGAATGTGTCCGTTATGGAATCCACTCCAGTAGGAAAATTGTGATGTTGCTGCAAGATTCCCTGCAGCAGAGCTCCTGCCAATGATGATGAAAAATCTCGGTCCATATGCTAGCTCTATACAGCTCTATAGTACCAGTGTGCTCTCATTCTCTTTCTGCTTCCTCAAAAAAAGTGGAATATCTGAAGAACAGTAAAGGCTAATTAAAAATAGTTAATAGGTTAATCACACCCGGTCTTATATTTATCTAATGCAGAGCACTGATTCTTTAGTGATGTAGCTTTGAGGCATTACCACGAGCCAAGAAAATGAATCAGACATTTAATGGAGATGTGGAAACGGAAATTTCTTGTAAGACTACAAAATCGCAAGCCAATAATGCACGAAAATATAATAAATTTATTATTAAAATTCCACGCATGGAATCCCGTCCTCTGTGTCCTCTCACTAGGCGACAAATCGAGGCCAAGCCGGCGAGAGAATTTCTCAGGAGCCAGGCCTTTGGGTGCACCTCACCTGCTTTTTAGCATTCTTGTCCCAGAGCGTCTGCCTGCAGATCTCGGCTGACAACCAAAGGCAAGAGGCATCACTTCGTAGGGCACCCCACTGCTGAGCCCCTGGTTTGCTCCTCAGAGTGCCAAGGGCTATGAAACGCTGCCAGAACTAGCTGGAGATGTCAACTTCGGATATTGCTGTGTAGTACTTATCTGGGCTGACAACAGCATGGTTTCTGTAACAGGTTCACTTCCCGGGCAGCAGTTGATGCTGGGAGCTATGCCTTCCCCGGGGGCTGCCAGCCACTTGTGAGGACAAACTCATGTCACTTTGCTGCTCTAACTCTGTGGTCCCCACATCCTGGCCGGATTTCTGTTTCTGTTTACACCGAAGTGTATCTGGAATAACCGGTAATGGAGGCTGAGACTGTATGGAAACAGGACCTGTTTATTGCCTTTTTAAAACAGCTGCAAGGAAAACGAGGGTGTTGCAGGCTGCTTACAGTTAACTCCCTTGCCATTTCAGCATTTCTCTTGCTTGTCTTAAATGAGATGATCAAGTATTTTCTGTATCTTCAAGTAAGGCAAAATGTTTTTCGCCTTTCTGGAGTATCGAAAACATTTGATGCTGGAGCTGAGTAATTGCTTTTAGTTTTGATTTGTGATCGTTGGTCCAGCCTGACCCCTGCTGGGGAAAAGCCAGAGGAGAGGATTACAAGCGCAGAGGGAGTGTCCGTCTGTCCGGGATCCAGAGGCTCATCAGGGAGCATTCCTGGCTCAGTCCTGCTCCCAACTCTTCCCCGGCCCTGCTCTTGCTACACGCTCCCCTCTCACAGTACAAGCTTTACCTGAAGTTTGCCCAGCTTCCATTTCCAAAGGCTCCCACCACTCTGCTACACTGCAGTGTGAAAGCAGCATATATCTATTTAATGTGGCTGCAGGGTCTGCTGTAGGTGCATCCAGCACTCTGCTGGCATCCTGACTCCGAAGCCCTGCTAGCTATAGCCGTGCAGCAGTTCTGTTTACCAGCACTCCATTTATCCTAACTAATTAGTGCACAACAGATTTCTTAACATTGCCATGAATGTCTATTCTTGTGTGGTGTTACTGAGAGCTGTAGCGAGTACAGATGTGCCCATGATGCAATGTGGAATTCATAAAAGGTTGCATGCTGGGGAAGGACTGCCATCCTTGCAGTAGGAATGGCTCTTCTTTCCAGTGGCCATGGGAGCAGCAGTGCCAGAGACTGCTGCTGCCTCTGCCCACCTCTGTCTGCAGCATAATTGGCTCTGGGATGGCCTGCTCCATTTCCCAGGTGGGCTTGAGGAAGGAACCCTGTGAGGGCTGTGCATGTGTGGCTGATCAGACATTGTCAAGGAAACTATTTTAACCTGCTATTAACAGTCATGCTGAGATGTACATGTAACAGGCTGGATGTGTAACAGCAGGGAAAAGGGGCACTGGTGTTCCATCTCCCTCATTTAGCTTTTCTGAAGGGCTGTGAAGGTGTCACCCTTCCAAAGTTACCTTCCTTTTCCTTTCCACTGTGGATTGCTGCACATGTGTATGTGCACATGAAGTGTGGACAAAGATACCAATTTAGACCTAGCAGTCTCCTAGTGGAGCCTCCTAAGCAAGGCAGTGAGTGTCCCCATGGCTGTAGTTGGTGGGTGCAGGTCCAGGCAGTACCTGGCTTTCATGTGAGCACTTTTTTAATGTGGATAACCAGGCTAAAAGTAATGGCTGGCTTTACTTTGGTTTTACATTAACAGCAAAAATGTATGGAAATTTAACTGCCATAGCTGGAGCTTTTATATAGTTTCTTTCACTCTGTGAGACAAATATATATATGGCAGGCCGTCGCTGGTGATCGATCTTTAAGCAGCCCCCTGTGGAAATCAGCAGAGAGAGCTTTGCTTAGAAATTGTTGGCACAGGGTGGTCCAGCGTCAGGGAACTGGAAATCGTTAAATTGATGATCTAAATGGGGATGGGAGGGAGAAAACGGCGGCAGTAGCTAACACGTCCATATTTTTATGATTTTTAGAAAATCGTATTTCAGCATTTTCCATCACATCAAAAGATGACATGGCTGCATTGATTAGCGAAGTGGTAGAGAAGATTACTGACAGCGGTACACTTTGTAACACGACTTGGTTTAAAAAAAGATCTTGCTGGTTCCGTTTCAGTTGCCGTGTGACCGCAGGCCGAGGGGCAGCGGCGGTGTCCAGGCGCAGGGCTGGAACGCGGCGCGCATCCCTAGGTAAGCTCCAGGTGCTTCGGCAGGAGCCGGCAGGTTCCCATTCAGCTGCCGGTCGCTGGTGCTCGCTCCGGCAGCTCCACCTAGCGAGGAGCTATCTCCCCAGCTGCCGGTCCCGGCTCTCCGCCGGCTGTCCAGGGCTGGAAACCAGAAGGGAAAGGCAGGTACCCCCCTTTCTTCCCCATCCTCCCCAGCTCTGGTCCCACGAGCGACGAGGAACGCCTCAAACACCTACCCTGCTCTCCTGTTTGAGCCATCAGAATAGCAAGGCTGGAAAAGAGAAGCCCTACTCAGGGAAGGGCATAAGGAATGAAGTGGAAGCTTAATGCTTTCAACCTCTTACAACCTGCTGAAAAAACACACCTTACGTTGTCTACAGGGGGTTTATCTCAATAACGAACTTCATCTGAGCTGCCACCCCTAAGCTCTTTGCTTGTTAATCACTGTAACTCAGGTCACACTGAGCTTCCCTTGTTCCAAGCCCTTTGCTTTGCCTCTTCTCTGATCCTGGGCAGGCTCAGCAAGGTCCTGCTGTCTTGGCCATGCTGGTCCTGGCCTGTCATAAACCAGTGACAGCAGGACAAGCAAACAGTTAATCTCAGTGTGTGGCCAAATACTGAGAGGAGCCATTACGCATTGCCTGGGCCAGTTGCCCTGCCCCAGCAGAACAGCAGAGCAGACCTCAGGCTCTCCTTCCCACAGCTGTAAAACCTTACCACGTCATGTCCTGTGCAGAGGCTGGCTGCTTGCTTTCTAACTTTATTAGAATATAATAAGGAAAGATATAAATCACTATTTGAATAATTGTGAATGACATGGTGCTTCTGTCTGCCCTGTGTCAGCAGAGACTGCTGTCCCATAACAGCAGGGGCAAGAGTATCTCTGTCTGTCTGCGGTCAGGGCCGTAAGCCTGCACCATTGCTTTAAGTGTCCACCATTGCCTTCCTTGGGATTTGCTGGAGCAGAGCAGCCTGGCAGCAGGTTGAACAGCAAGAGGGAGTTACTTCCCTCCCTCCCATCTATGTGCAGTACCATCCAGCCCTGCAAACTCTATGTCACTTTACTGGCCCCAACAACAGCGTGGGGGTTTGTTAAAGGTGCTATGAGTGCTATGCCATGAACAGCTGAGCAGCACCTTCAGAGACCTTAGGGGATGTGGTGGCTTCTGCCAGGCTCAAACTCATTCCCTAGGTGAGAAGACAAAGTGCCTTGCACAAAAGAGGCAGGGCTTCTGGGCTGGCCTTGTGGCCATAGGGAAGCAGAGCATGGGTGGACCTGCTCTCCAGAGGTGTAATGGAGAAGGCAGAGAGATTGCTGTGGAGTCTGGGAGCTGACAAGGAAAGCAGGAAGTCTGGTGATCAGATTTTTCTGTAATAAGCTGAACCCATAGGAGAGGAGAGTTGTTTGCTGTTTCGTTTTTTTTTTCCTTGTGCTTTCCTCTTTCCAGAGAAGGATAAGATTCCAGATGCAGAGCACTAAAAAGCTTGCAGCCAGAAGGCGCAATTTCCTACTGTGAGGGTTTGAATTCAACTTCGCACCTGATTTTGCAGTGGCATTGCCAGGGATTCATGCAGTAAAGCATGCTGCCATTTCTTTCCCCACAGATGAAACTATCTGTTTTCTGTAAGTTTCTCAGTCATCTCTACCAGTTCCTGCTCATGCTTTCCTTCTCTTCTGTCATAATCACTGATGCCAACAGGAGTCATATTCTGCAGCTTGCATGAACTTCTTTCTAGCGGCACTGGGGACAGGGTAGCAGGGAATGCTTGGCTGCAGTAAGAATCCCAGGTGTTTTGTCTCTTCTACCTCCAGGCATATTCCTGATGGTTTGTTACACTGAAATAATTTATCCCAGTACTATCTTTGGTTAGCTGTTATGGTGGCAGAAAGGATGCTATTCACAAAGCACCTTCTGAGTGTGTTGATATGGTAGCTGGCTGGCAGTGAGTCTTCTTGCATTGGGAAACAGGGAATTCCTTTAGTTTGTAACTGCATTAAAAAAGATGGATCAAAGGGTGAGACTGAAGATATGGTTCTGGGCTTTTTTCTTTTGTTTTGGCTTTGCAGTACAGGGTTCAGGTAAACAGGCAGCTGTCTGGCACAACAGTAGGAAGAGTAGAAAGCCACTTGCTGTGGTTGCTCTCCATTCCCATTTCAGCTCTGGCTCTTCTGGCAGTACCTGACTGAGGAACAGCCAGCCTGGTCACAGCCCAGAGGGAGCTAAAATGCTAAAAGCAGAACTGGTGCCTCTTTCGAGTAATAAATACACAGTCCTCCTGTTGCTACAGGTCCTCCTTCCTTCACTGTGATCTCAGCATGAGGCAGGCAGCCAGGCTTGGGGGATAGGTATTAGGCTGATTGATCACAGATTCCTTGGCCCATTTAGCACAGAGAGTATGATTCCAGATAAAGCTGTCAGGTAAGCAAAAGAAGTTGAAGAACTTGCCAACAGCTGCCTGTGTGTGTGCTGGCAACTTAGGGAGGAGAAAAGTGAGATCAGGAACAGGAGTGCCATGAGATGCATCCAGAAGTCACTAGTCAAGATTTGCAATGGGGCTTTCAACCACAACCATGAAAACTTATGAAAGGGAAAGGCCTAGAGTCTCTGTCTTTTGTAGCTCATGTTTTCTTGGCTCTTTTTAAGAGAAAGGAAGATGCTTATCTCAACTTGTATCCTCCTAGTAGAGAGCTCAGGGTCTGATGTAACCCATATCCAGTCCACAGAGTTTGGAGAAGGAAGGCAAAGATATCAAAGGTATGACCAGTTAGTAATTTCTAGAGTACTTTTATGGCTATACCACTAGAAGATAACTCTCAGAGAATTCACTTAAGTGAATACATAGGAATATGTAAAGCACAAGATGTACTTCAATCTGAAGACTATCACAATAAAATGGCAGCAAACCAGGACTTTACAGGGCAATCTTTCC